TGAAGTGGTTCGCTTGCCCCTGCATCGGACCGAGCCCCCCTACCTGCCAGAAAAGCTAAGGTCTTGGTCAGTAAGGTTAGAGGATTTCCATATGGGATTGCTTTGGCGAACCCAGCTGTTGGTCTCATAGTACTCCTTCGTACCGAAGGGATACGACACCTTATGTTCGGTATCGTACTTGTCGACTAGATACTGCAGTATGGCTCCGCTTTCGAACACCCGAATGGTCGACCCATCGGTGTGCTTGTCAGTCAAGGCTGGGATCTGGAGCGGGTTGTTTAGTTCCCCTTCTATCACTTGGGGTCCGGACACTGGAAACAACTGACCCTCCCATTGGGATTGATCTTGAGGAACCATTCCTCCTGTTTCGAGTTAGCCACAATTCCGAGATCTCGTCCATGGCGTAGCAACTTACCTTCTGGGTGTTCTTGGAGAGGTCGATGTCTGTGGTCTGGCCTGTGTTAATTTAAGCCCTGCATGACCCATCAGGGGCTCCTAACCTCATATGACAGGCCGAGCTCCTCCAAGAGGATGGACACCTTGATCCCGTTCGGTGTCTGGGCAGTGTCTGTGATGATACGGTTCAGTATAATCGAGCTTGGAGACACCTTATTAGCGCAGTAAACTTACACAGATGGATATCGGATTTGCCGGCCATTTTCGAGACGTTATCTTATTCTGCTCAGTCTTCAAGTCGATATAGACGGAGTCAAAAGTGCCTCTTGGTTGACATCAGTCGCAACTTATACTATGGTACATAGGTACCTAGGTAGTCTTACGTCAGGCCTTCGCGATTAGAAATCAAGGAGCGCCTTTCAGTTGATGCGCGGGGCTCAGGCTGCTACTGTTCCACTGCAGCAGTGCTACCCACAGCGGGTAACTAAGCAGTCTTAGGGATCCATAGATGCTACACACTTGAAGTTACCCCGTGCCATGATGTGCTCCTCCCTTCGCAACATTTCCCAAGCAGATATGTCTTATGCGTTCTTGCGATTGATATCGACTCATTTGTCAACAATGGACTCCCATGGTCTCATGTCGAAGGATGGGGCTGTATGACGACACATTCCTGTGGTTACCGATGATTTCAAATCTTGGGCCCAGTGGCCAAAGACGAGCTTGACATCTGGAGTGAGCATGGCTTTCATCTAAATCTCGGTACGGTTCCAACTGTGTTGTTGAGGCCAAACTTCCGCAGTCGGCCCAGCCATGCCGTAGAAAACGCTGTGCAGATAGCCCAGAGATGTGCGAAGATATGAGGATGGGGTGATCCTCGAGTTCATCACTAATGACACCTCACTGAAGGCACACCCCTGGTCGTCAACAACAGTGTTCGTGTCGCCTCGCAAGACCTTACATGTCATTGATTGACGGACCACCTGGACAGTCACCACCGACCCCCCCCATCTTCCGGGGCTCTCCCCATGATAGATGTCCAGATTGCACAACCGCGGAATCGGCCCATACCGGGTCAACAAGCGGCAGCGTGGCCATGACAGGCGCAAGATTCCGGGCGGTCCCTCGCGATAGAGGTGACATTCGCACTGCATCAGGGATGCCATAGCCGTGTCCATCCCAACGAGACAGGAGGGCTGTTTGCTTCTTGGATTTGCTGACGGCAGGCTACTGTAAGCCACAAGATGCAGGTGTAAACGCGGGTGCTGTAGATGAGTAGGCACAGGAAAACTCCCCTTCAGCCGTGGTACCCTGGGGATGGAAACACGCAGGACGCCGCTGGCTGAGGTAAGGTTCGTAATTCGCAGGTCTACTGCGAGGGCGACATTGGCGAGGGGTATTGATTCTAAGTGCGTCTCTCATGACTGCTACGACTGCTTGTAGGAGTTATCAAGTTGATGATGTAGATTGAGAAGGTGAATAATAGAAGATGTGCCATGTGGTCTGTCCTCGATACTTGGAGACAGACGATTCGAATTTCACCGGGGCTGATGAACAACGCAATTCGATCAACATCAAGTGCACTGCTTCACGCATAAAGAAGTTATCATATCCGCAAGGCGGAATCATTACAACAAAGTTTCTTCCGGTATGCAACGCCTCGGACTCGCCGTGTCTTGCAGTAGGCCTGGAAGCTTCAATCAGGCCGGCCATATATTTCCTTGAAAGGGATCACATGAACCTAGCATAGAAACCAACGTCTCGATCTCAATGGCGGGCATGCTAAACATGCTGCCCGAGTCTTCTACCTGGGCACCTCTAAAGACTGACTTAATGATAATGGACACGATCTCGGGGTAGTCTACGGCAAGATTTCGAGTGGTGACATCCCTGCCCAGGTCACTTCTCACAAGCTCGAAACTCCATGCGCAAACTACCGAATAACATCAGGGCTGCCAACAAATAACCAAATACCGACCAGACGGTATGGGGCTAGAGGAACTCATTATGACCTCCTGCCTGGCTGTAAGTACAAGGTCGCGTGGTATAAGCACTTCCTGCAGCATGATCCCCATTTGGATGGAGCCCAGTAGTATATGTTCCGTTAGTATATCCTCGAGTAGTATACCCTCCCGAATTATAAACTCCACTTGTGTGACCTGCAGTAGTATAACCTCCAGTACCATAGCCTCCATTTAGGTGACCCCCAGTGTAATAACCTCTGGTTGGGTGGCCTCCAATTTGGTAAAGCCCAGTTGGGTAACCTCCGATTGGGAAACCTGTAGATGGATAACCCCCAGTAGGAAAACCTTGAGCAGGATGATATCCAGCAGGGTAACATCCAGCAGGGTACGAGGCCATGGCCCGAGGCACTTGGGATGGCAAACTCCCAGGAACCTGCTGTACAGGCTGCAAAGCCTGTTGATTAGAGGCAGTCTGACTGTACAGTGACCCCTGGGAACCCAGACCATTGGACAGCGGCCCTGCGTAATGAAAAGCAGGTAGGAATCTCGGATCTGAGCCGCAGAAGGTAGGGACGGCCTGAGCCTGGGCCTGAGGTGCATGTGTTAGTGTGGATGTGCCCGCATTGCGAACCCGGCGTTGAGTTGGAGCGGAAGGGTGAGCAGGAGCTTTCCGTTTGCGATTTGCTGCCGCCCGTCCTTTGCTGTTAATTGACCCCAACGTATCAACGGCAGTTGGGGGAGAAGAATGCTCGATCTTGGGCTCCCTTGCTACTGGAACCGGCTCTGGCACCTCGGGGTCGTACCGAGGACCATAAACTTCGCCATGATCTTCGACGAGATGATAGATTATATCGTCATACAAAGTGGACAGATCTTCCTCGGACCCGTCCTCTTCACTTGCATCTTCTATGTGTGCGCAATCAGAAGATTCTGAAAGACTAGCATCAACTTCTTTTATAGCTGCTGCTATCTGATCAGCTAACCCCAAGCCCTGGCTTGAGCTAGGAGAGTCTTCTGGTGGTGTAGGATAGATGTTTTGAGAATTCGTAGCCATTTTTGTTTGTTCAGCGAGATGATCTTGGAACGGTGTTTTGAGATGGCTTATACAATGATTATGATGCAGCTTCTTGGTAAGTGGAATCAGGTCTTTCGGATGACTGTCCTTATGAGTGGATTATGGCCACGAATAGATGAATGGTCAGGAATAGAGTTGGAGAATTATGTTACCAAAACAGACTGTGGAGGTTGCTTTATAAAAATACTTGAAGACTTGGTCGATTAGTCCGTGGGCAGCGCCATGGGTCATTCCAGAACCGGACCAGAGAAATTGAAAGAAATACATCATGGTACAATCGTTCCGGACCAGTCTACTGCTTCACTTAGCCTTTGGCGGACTGAAACTCAGACCAGCTGAGAAGGGGATAGCATTCGGGGCCACGATCATTGACTCCCAACGATTCGCTGCCACCAAGCCCGTCTACATACCCTTCCCGTACCGAAAGCGTAGCGTAGTACCTCATATCGCAACACTGTCGATGACAGACCCAGAAGTGGTGTTTGTTCTCTCCGCCCTGCTACTCACGACTTGAGTCTCCTGCACCGGGTCCGCCCGCCCTCCTTCCCACCCCGGGTGAGCTCGTATTAATCACCTTTAGGCAGAACTCCTTGAGGAGGCTGCCCACAGATGTCGACTTTAACTCCGTTTCGTTGGTGACTGCGAACTGACTTGGTTGGGAGTCTGTGCTTTCATCTACTAGGTCTTCCTTCCATTCGAGATCCCTAGGAACTTTGACCCAGTCCTCGGTTCCGGTTGCCTTCTTGCCGCGGTTGTTGCGGCTGGTGTTATGGTCTGGCATTTTGATGCGACTTGGGAGTTCGAGTCGCTAGCTTGCCTATGAGAAGGTGGTAGTAGAAGGAATTATCTTCAATAACCACTAGGTCAACGGGGCTGGTGGTGGATATGGAACGGTTCGCGGGATGATGTACTGGTGGAGGGCTTTGACCGTTGTGTCCTGGACGTTGATTGCTGGATCCACTATGAAATGGGACATTCAACAGAATCAGGCTTTATGTATGATTTCCGATCTGATCATCAGGTAGAATCATTTGCTTGCATAGATATGTTAACACTGGTGATGTGTTTCTGTCCCTGTGATAGCGGTCAAAGCACGTGCGTGCATGCATACTTTATACACTTGGGTGCATCATGATCTTGACACCAGAATTGTGATTGATTTGTAGGATTATCTCAGGCTATTAACAGGCATAAGCAGGCTTGGCAGTCATACCTAGCTAGATATGTATCCAGCAGGGTTGTTGCAGTATTGTATGCAACATTGTATGCAGTGGATAATGAACATCAATAGTGCTGCAATGTTCCAGGTCATTCGGTTCGATACTCGTTTACGGCTGTAGTGATCCCCTTACCCCAGATATCTGGACCCACAACGATTGAACCCGTCTGGACCCATTGACCATGTGCACTGAATGACAGGGCTGAACCTTGTCCTGTACCACACAGATTTCGGGACTTTCCAAGGCTGGATCCACACTGTGCAATGGCGGGCTCTTGTGCTTGGTGCTTGAGTGAGTCACTGATATAAGAAGCCCTAGCCCACCACACAACATCACCGAATACACAGCTACATAGCTCAGGGGAAGAGTGAGTTACCTTGCTTCTCAATAATTATCATCATCACAATGTACTGACAATCAATCAAGGCGCCGGGCTCATAACCCGGAGGTCGCTGGATCGAAACCAGTTGTAGCTATTCGACTCTTTTTTGACGGTTTTATTTTTGTGCTTGATGTTTCGATAGCTTGATCATGATACCCATTGATGGTCCATGTGGTGTCGGTTTTGTTGTTTAGTTTCGAGTTTACTTCTTCTGTACGTTGGTTGCAATGAAGACCTGAACAAGTGGACTGCCACATTATCACGACTCCCGCTCAAATTCCGCAGAAATGTGCATTTTCAGGTAGTCCTGGGGTGGGATCTGTGGAGGCTCCAGGATGAATGACAAGCCCAATCAGAATAGCTATGAATAACTCGACAGGCAGGCCATACTCCCCCAAGCCTCAGCCCAGGCACCATCTTCATATCAGGCTTCTAGGAGCTAGCTGAGAGGGTCCATCTTCCCTACCAATATGTAGCGCCCAGCGATATGGACGTAAACTTTTGACGGTACCACAAGTCCTGGGAGTCGACATAGGCACCTAAATAAAGTCCCAGCTCCTTCAACAGGGATGATGCCGCGGGAACTCTTGAGCCTCATGGTCTAGCGTGGGGGTTCGAGTACGGGTACCATGCGACTGGACCCCTGAAGATACCTGGGTACTTAATCATCTTTACAGGTAATGATCTGCGAATCCTCCGTCTTATTTTGGGAACCGATTGCTGGTAATTCCTTATCGATACCAGAAACTTTCGAAGGTACCGCCCTTCTACGAGCGCATTGCTTCCAAACCACATCCACACGAGCCCATACAACACACTGATCAAGAAATCAATATAACAAGAAACAAAATGGCCAAGACAAACGCAAAGAAGGGCAAAGGTGAGGCCATTTCTTGCCAACGCATTGCGTACCTTCGCATGCAAGCATCCTGCCCCATTCGCTAACGCTACGATCCCCAGCGCCCTCCCTCCACTCCCGCGCAGCCCGCCGGGCCACATCACCAAGCATCAACACAGACAAGTCCCTCAAGGACGTCCAGCCACCAACCGAGTCCGTCAACAACCGGCCCTCGGTCCTCGGCATCCACCAGAGCGCCGGCGTCACCAAGAAGACCAAGCGCGGCCGCAAGTCGGTCCTGAGCACAAAGGCCAGGAAGCGCCACGAGAGGGGTCTCGAGCGCGCCGAGCACGTCGTCGACAGGACGGCCGTCAAGATCCAGAAGAGCAAGAGGTCCGCCGCCGAGATCGCCAGCCGCAAGAAGGCATGGGACGAGGTCAACGGGTCCATAGGGGACGTGGCCGCCGCCATCGGCGGCAAGGCGAGCCTGAACATGTTCGCCGGGCTGGGTAACGGTGATGACGAGGAGGACATCGAGGAGGTGGATAATTTCGACGACGAGATGGGCGATGTCGACCAGGGCGCTGCCGCCGCTGCCGCCACCGCCACTGCTGCTCCTACGACAAGAGTGACGAGAGCTTCTGCGAAAGCTGCCGTTGCCCCTGCAGCGGCATCACCGCCCCAGGATGATGAGGACGAGGAGATTCTGTGAGCGCGTTACGCATGAGCTACCGGGGAACACTTTAGGAAGGTTTCATGACTAGGCGTTGGGGGTTTGATACCAGATGCAATACAGCTTCGCATTTTCGCAATCAACACCTTTGGGATCCAGTGCCTTGTCACATGAAACAGCCACTGAGCATATGGTCAGGAATTCGGAAACCAACTCCGCGAGGAACTCGTTCCTTCACATTTATCTGGCTGTCCTCTCACACAGGCGAAATCCGCCTCCATCACAGCCTCAGCAAATGCTCGAACTCGCCTCGATTATAGCACTAGAAAGGGCTCGAACTTCACATTTACAGCTTTAGTAAGTTCTCGAAAATCGCATTCATTCATAGCCTAGGTAGGAGCATGAAACTCACGCCTACTTCCAGTTCTCCTTATTAAACTCAACTCGGTGCTCTCTAAGGCAGTTAAGAAAGCAGTTGCACAGGCTATTATAAAATTAGCCTATTGCACACATGCACCTATCCTCTCAGCAGAGAAATTCAAGGGTAAACTTACACATGGTGGTTCGCGTACAGAGTTCCACTCTTCTCGGAAACCCCTTGGACTCCCAGCGCCCTAAATTCGCGTGCTGCACGCTCGAGATCTTCTACCACCAGCGCGAGCGCCTCGCGGTATGTAGTGCCGTCCCGCCTGTCCCTCCGGGCCTTAGCCCTGTTCTTCTTCTTGTTTGGCTTCGAATCTGCTCGCTTATAGGCCCGGTTCCAGTACTGGACAGCCAAGGTTGGGGGCACGGGGAGGAACTCGGTCGCGAACATAAGGCGAAGGCCCGGGGCAGCCGCAAGATTGGCGGCGACGTTGCCAGTCATAGGGTCTTGGGGGTCATCAGTGAGGTACTGAATATATATATGTCAGCTTTGTCTCCACCTGTCAGGATTCGTCGTCCATACATCACCGATCGGATCATAGTCACAGCCCTGCTCATGGCCAGTGACAACTGCGCCGAATTGGTCCATCTTAGGGGTCTCGTCTGATGAAGATTTGTCTGATAAAATTGGTCTGACGAAGAGTTGTCTGATGAAGATCTGTCTGGTAAGGTTGTGTCTGCTGAAGATTGTGTCTGCTGAAGATTGTGTCTGCTGAAGATTGTGTCTGCTGAAGATTGCGTCTGAAGGATGTTTTATCTACTCAGGCTACGTCTAGAGAAGATTCTGTTTCAGCACAATGGAAGTCACAGCTATAGTGAAGTGATCTATTGACTCTTGCTCATCTCTTATTTAGATGGAAAATCTTGGCTGCGCAAATGCCTATTTCTCTCCCTATTGACAAGCATAGCACTGTACCTATTGTTCCTCCTGTAAGCAACAGTCACAACGCGGTGATCTCCTGCTCCTCAGCCTCACACTTCTGAGGCGATGTTCTCATGCCCCTCATGCCATAAATCCCGTGGCGATTGTCTTTTGTTTCCCCTGAAATCACTCCTGAGGCGATTACCTCCTGTTCCACATCCCAGTATTCTCGAGGGGATTACCTCGTCCTGGTTAGCCTATCTCTTCCAAGGCGATTGTCTCTTGCTCTCTAGGCTACCAAACCTGAGGCGAATACACTTTCCTCCTGAGAAAATGGTTCCCAAGGCGATTATTTCTTTCTCCTCTGGCATCTAACCCCCCAGGCGATTATCTCCCATGCACGACCACGAACCCGTCTACTTCAGGATCTGAGGATGTACTTGACTGCCTCTCTGACGCAGACCCCAGGGAAGACGACGGGTACGCTCCAACCCATGAGCTCATCGAAACGGAGTCACGCTCTACCACACGGGGCTGCAACGTCGAGATCGACCGGCGTAGCCTGTCGGCCGAGTAATATCCACTGTCAGATGAGCGAGGCGAGAGCCTATCGGGGAAGTCCTGCACCAGGAGGGCACTTTGGCTTCGCATTCTGTGTATCGTGACAGGGGCATCGTGTATCCTGACTGACCGCCGCTCTGAATTGTCACGGACAACCGCGTCTGTGTCGTGTTGATGTGTGAGTGGCTTCTGCAAGATCTCACCACCAAATCGCTCGAATGACTGGGGTCGAGCATCGACGTCCTGTAGACACCTTGATAGAAGATCCATCAGATCGGGTTCCTGAAGCAGAACCAAGTAGCCTTGGGGTCCATCCGTCGACAGCTCTACCGGGCGGTTCTGTGGCTCGACCTGGTTTCTGACCTCCTCCCAGTGAGATGACAGCCGTGCGAGGTTGGTCGGGGAAGAAGCTGGCCCAAGGAAGATTTGACTCTCAACTCGACGTCCCGGGGGAACATTCGCCAAAGCGTAGGAACGCCGCCGGTGGTGACCAACAGAAGGCTCGACACGCCGCCTCTGTCGGGACTGCTGTTGGCTTCTAGATATGGTCCGTTGTTCCCTGCCCATTGCACGAGCTGCGTTTTCCATGGCCTCTTCGGGGGTCAGGCCGGTGGTGTGCGGTGACGATCGTTCCTCGAACATGTCGCGAGGATCGTGAGATCGAGGCGGCTGTGACGGTGTCTTGGGGTCTGGTTGTCTGTAAGGCTGGTATTTGTGCTGACCTATACCGCCCGCAGAATGTCCGGTCTGAATCTTCCTTATGGACAGAGGCTTTGGAACCGCGGAAGCATGGCTGTGGACGCTTTCTTGCACGTGTGGATGAAGGCGCATCGTTGGGAGAGGTGAGGGTGTGCCATTGACCACTCGCAAGGGGAGCCGCAGTGGCTCCACGGGAGAGACTTTGCCGACCTGGGTCTGTATTGTAAAATCAGCTATGAATTAGGAGAAAAGCTGAGGGAAGCCAGCCATCAACATTATGGTCCAATCTCACTTACTTCCTGCCTGTCATTGGTACGATTCTGCTGCTCCTGTCCTTGAGACTGCCCGTGGTCCTCAACATTTTGTCGCGAACTTTGACTTGCCGGTGGGCTTCCACCCGGAACTGAACCCAAGATGCCGCTGCTTCTATTACGCTGGCCTTTTTCCAGGTCCACAACGTCCTTTATCCTGGTGCAGTAGAGGATAAAGTGAGATAATGCGAAGAAGGCGACTAGGATCCCAGCCGTGGTGCAAAAAGCAATGACCACGGGAGGGGATAGTTGCCCCCAGACGCTCAGCAACGTCGTGCAGATGATGCACAAGAGGATAACAGGGCCCAATGGTGTCCACTTGTACGCCAGATCGTACAGAACTTTGCGGTGACGTCTTTTTCGGTCCATATTGAAATTTGCTGGACGCACTTCTAAGAGGCCACGCCCGAACATGGTGTCTGGCAAGGCCTCTATCCCTTGTGTGTCTCGTCTTCCGTTCTGTGATCGCAGAGTATTTATTCACTGAACACCAGCTCAGGTTGCCCGTGATATCAAAGCCATATTGGTTGGACTATTCAAATAAGATCAAGAAACGGCCGGAAGTTTCCTTACTGCCTATTGTGTGAGACATCTTTTGTTCTGCTTGACAAGAGCACACGGAGAGTAACAACAACGTAATGTTTGAAATCAGTCAGATAAAGAATAAATGATTGATTCTACACGTCTCTTCGAGACCTGATCACAAAGATGTTGAGCCCTTTCAGCG